TATAAATTTTTTTAGACCTAGAAATTTTCTGACCGGGCTGGGCCGGGCCGGCCTGAGAGAAAATTGAAAACGAGCCGGGCCTAAACGTTGGGCCCGGCCAGGCCCTTTTCTCACTCCTATGTATCCAAAAATAGATGTGTATCAAACTGAGTAAAGTCAAAAATGAACTGAAAAGAGCCGAAAAGAGCGGATACATTCGGCGCTTCTATTGTCTTTTTTCACGCTATACAATGCTCGTCAGGGTTAGATGCTCGAACATTCTGTACTCAAATTGAGTACTTTTGAATTTCAAAATTTTTAAAAATTTTAAAGTTTTGTAAAGTACGTTAAATTAATAATGTTATTTTAAACAAGGGTAGTTGGTAAGATGGTGTTAAGGTACTGGTAGTTACCTCGTCACTATCATATCTTACTAAAATATGAAGCTAGTCAAAAAATGATGAAAATAGCAGTATGATACGGTAAATGTCATACTATTCGGACACAGACAAGACGGTGTAACCGCTAATTCTCTTTTGATGACTTCCGTGTGTTTTTTATTTTTGTGGTATTGAAATGTCAAAGAGTCGTGTTTTATGATGACATTATGGCTAGACATCATTTTTTTGTAATGGGTGGATAAGTTGTGCTATACAGTATGAGGGTGGGGTATAATAGGGCAGGGTATGACATGGTAGGGTAGAGCAGGATATGGTAGGATAGTGCAGAGTAGGGTAGGGTAGAGTATGGCAAGATAAGACAAGGGTATTATAGGGTTGGGCGAGGCATTTCAAGGCAAGGCAGGGCAGGGTAGTTCAGGACAGCGTAGGGAATCGGGTAACATGGGCCAGGGCAGAGCAAAGCAAAGCAAGGCAAGACAAGGCAAGGCAAGGCAAGTCAAGTCAAGGTAATGCAGGGTAAGGTAAGGTAGGGTATAGACATGAGAAACCGGGCCCAATTTTCAGGCCCGGCCCGATCGAAATTTTTCTCAGGGCCGGCCCGGCCCGATGTTAATGGGAACGGGCCGGGCCCGGCTCATTTTTCAGGCCCGGGCTGATCGGAATTTTGCTCAAGGCTGGCCCGGCCCGTGTCTCATGTCTAGCAGGGTATTGTAGGGTAGAGTAAAGTAAATACTGATTCCACTGACCCTTCTGCCATTTCAAAAAAAAGTTTTTTTTATCAAAAAAACTATAAAATGACGAACCAAACTTGATAATATACTATAGTATGACATTGTCGCCCAAAAAATATCTATCAAAATTGGAATATTGCTTTTGGAAGTGTCGCTAAATTCAATTTGGAAACAAGTGTAATTCAATTTTTAAACGGGCGTGGTAGGCATTTTTTTACAAAAAGGTTTTAAAATTTTTGAGAGGTCAAAGGTTGGTTATGGTAAAATACGGCCTCTACCTTCTCTTTTTTTAATTTAAAATTGTGAAATCTTGCTTAAAATTAGGTGTAATGATTGCATTAGGTTGTTCAAATAATTCTGCGCCCTCTTATAAAGAAAATTTTATGTGAACAATCTAATAGGAATGTTAGACTTTCAGGTATTTTTTGAATTGAGGGGTGGTGGTACCTTTTGGCAAAACTCAAAAAAAATGCCATTTCTTTTCAAATCCAAGCTCAGAAACCTAACAACAATTCAACTTTAACTTCCAAAAATCAAAAACTACAAACTGTATTCTAAATTTGGCCGTTTTTCTTGCAAAATTCACGCCATCCGAGCCCCGGAGGGCACGAGGGAAAAAGTTCCGGGATATGTAAATGTATATAATATCTTGTTTTGTGTTCGAAGGCCGCAGAAAATGGATTAAGAGTCCGCCCACAGGGCAAAAAAAGCGAAAAAGTTTGGCCAAACGTCCAGAAAAATTGAGACTTTTGGCCATTCCGCCGCCTCAGGGCATTTATGTTTCGTTTTAAAATAACAAAACTTTATCTGGTTTCCGGCCCTAAGGTAACGGGGTAATATACCGTGTAAATTTTGTGTAACGTAGCTTTTGTATAACGAAAAGGGTAGGGAAGGGTAGGGTAGGCTATGGTGAGGTAGGGTAGGGTAGACTGAGCTGGATAAGGTAGGGTTGGGTAGAGTAGGGTAGGGTAAGTTTTGTATAAAGTTTTTGCTGTAAATTTTGAACTAACAATTACTTTTTGAAGTTAGTGGTGATGTTATTTTTAGTTTTTTTTTGTTTTCAGCTTTGGGCGGGGGTAAGTTTAAAAAAATTGTGGAAGGGGAGGGGGGGGAGGGGGAAATTATGAAGTAGGACAGACTTAACAAAGTTTTTAAGCAAAAGGAATATTTTTTTTTTAAAAAAAGTTGTAAATTATTTATAAGTTTTTGGGCGTGGTGAATTTTTTTAGGTAAAATGGTTTTTCATTTTAATTTTTTTATGGGAAAACATAACAGTTTTTAAAAAATTTAGTTTTCGGCAGGGTCGTAATAATAATAAATATAAGAATTTGGGCAGGGTAAAGCTGAATTTTTACCTTTTTTATTTTGTTGGACTAATTTTCAATTTTTTTTTAGTTTTTGAGCAGGTTATTCTTTTAATTATAATAGTTTTTAAAATTGCGCTTTCTAGTAGACATGCTATTTTTGTTACCTAAATTTTAAATTTTGGCCTAATTACTTTAATGGTTTTTTAAAATTATTGTGTAACTCCTGTATAACGAACAAATCGAAAATCGTCCATACATTCATTATAAAAGAGTTATAATACCCAGAAATCATTTTATATCCGAAAAATGCATTTAGAAGTCTCAAAAATTTGGTGTTTTATTGGCATATGATGTGCATTCTAAAAGAGCAGTTTATTGGAGCCATAAGCTCTCCTATGAAAAGTACATGCCTTGTTTTCGGTCTAAAAAGCGGGTTCTTAAATGTGCAGAGGAAGGACTGTATAACGAATATTGTTCAGAAATGGTATTATGATATTACAATTGCGCTTTTGGTTCTATGGCCATAGCTATGATAATACTATGGGAACAGTTTGTTGTATGGTAGTGCTATGGGGTTAAAATTTGGTAATGTAAGCACTATACTACTAATGTTTGTATAACGAAATCTTATGACGAAAATTCTGTATAACGTGCAAATTTAAAACTTTTCAGCGATTTTCAATACTGGGGTTCTACTGTATTTTATAAGGACTTTTCAACTCATTAATAGTTTAGGGTTTCTATTTTTTTTGAAGTTATTGAAAAACTTATTCTGAAATATGAATCCACCGCGTATTTTACTAAATTAAAAGTTTGTGGCTTGTAGTTGAACTAGCCCTAATCTTGACCATATAGATTTGGCTCTAGCTTTAGCTCTAGACTTAGCCCTATCTCTAGCTTTAGCCATATCCCTAGCCATAGTCTTAGATTTAGCCGTAGATATAGTCGTATTCCTAGTCTTATTCATAGTCTTAGCTTTCGTCCTAGCCTTAGTCTTAGCCTGGGCCTTAGCTTTAGTCTTACCTTTATCTTTAAGTCTATCACACTATACCCTACCTTATCCTTTCTCTAGTCTTTCCTCAACTCACCCATGCTCTAATCTAACAGCTTACCCATACCTTTAAAAATCTTAGCAACCCCTACCCCTAATTATGAAATTTTCTTACATAGTGCCACTTTTAAAACAACTTCCTTCTCGTTTATCGAACCGAAAATCTGTCGATATATTTGGGATGTTTTTCCAATTACCACCGGCTGTTTTTGGTCGAAAAAAGGGCCGAGGGTTGTTGATGCCAGGCCCATATATAAATAATTACTTTTTACGCGGAGATTACTCTTTTCTTTGTCCGCTTTTTGCTGCTCTGTACTTTTATGGTATTTTAGTTTAATTTTTGGAGGTTTCAAAAAATTTTCGTGATTTTGGAGTTCTACCTTACTCTAGTTTTAGCTCTAACTCTAGACTTGGCCTTTGTTTTATACCAGTCATAGACTTCTCCTTAGACCTATATTTAGTCTTAGCTCCATTTTTAATGCTAGCCCTATCTTTAACTCTGAGCCTATTATACTAGACCTACTCTGTACGTTCTCTAGTCCAGTCTTAACTCACATATGTTCTACTGTAACAGCTTGTAGGTGCAAATGGGTTTAATATTTTTTTATCTTACTCTGGCTTTAGCTCTAGGCTTAGCCTTTGCAGTTAGCCCTACCCTTAGCCCTAGGCTTAATATTAGCCCTAGCCTTAGCGTTGGCCTTAGCGTTAGCTCTAGGTCTAGTCTTAGCTTTAATTTTAGCTCTAGCCCTACTCTTTGTCTTAGGCCTAGCCTTTGCTCTAGTCATAGCTTTAGTATTAGCCTTTTATCCTTGCCTACCTTCTACAATTTGTAGTTGTAGTACTCTCCCCTTTTCATAAAAAGCTATATGAATATCTTTGGTGTTGGAATCGCGAAGAAAAGCGGGTGCAAATCGCCGGAACTTTCGAGAATCTCGTCATTCTCCCCTTCCGTCCTCTTTATTCGCTCATTTTCAGGCGGTACCCAAATTTTTTGTTTTTATGAACAGTTGAAGGCACAAACGAACACACGGCTTCGGAAGTTAACAAGTGAGTTCTGAACCGGTCTCTCCCCCCTCATCCTCTTCAGGCATGGGAAATTGGGCCCACGAAATGAGAGGAAATTGCTCTAGAATAGGCACCGAGTTGGGCTTTGGGGGATGTTGGGCTAGGAGGGATGTTAGGGTAGAATAGGGTGGGTAGGGTAGGGTAAGATAGCATAGGGTAGGGTAGAATGAGAAAAAGTACGGTAGGGTAATATATAAAATATTACAGTCAGGGCCGGGCGCGAGGGGGGGGACGGGGGGGGATACTTCCCCCCCCAGAAAAAAATTTTCGAAAAAATTTGAACATGATCCCCCTGTGGATTTTTGGACCCCTGCCCCCAGACCAAAAGTCCCCGCCCGGCCCTGATTACAGTAACTCTTTCTGTAAAAACTTTACTTCTTACAGTATGAAATTTTAAAGTTACAGTATCCCTTTATTTCCAAAGTTTCCAAAATTACATTAACTTTTTTAATTTCAGACCCCCACGATGGGTGACTTGTACCAAGGCGGTCATGGCCACGGTGGCAAGGGGTACGGTAGTGGTTCGTACGGGTATCAAGGGATGCACTGTAATATGACACGACCTTTTATGGACTTGACAACGGAAGAACAGAAGTGTTTGGATGATCGAAAATACTGGTGCTTTCTGCTCTCAAGGTACTGTAACATTTTTTCTTGGATTTTAGGTTAATGGGTATGTGTAGTAGTACTTGAAGGTAATTTTTGGTACTGTCACTACTCTGCTCTATCAAATCTACTTTACTTTACTCTATTTTTTTACTTTACTGTATCAAAAACTACATGTACTGTAACATTAATCAACTTAATTTTTTAGTATTGTTACCTTTTGTGTGTCAATGCTGCTGGTCGTGTTATGGCGAATCATCACACATTTATGTTGTCAACCGCCGGAACGAGAAGCCATACCCCCGCCCCCACCCGAATACTACAAAACTGGCTCAACCTCCGGCTCAATAGCTGGTCCACCACTAACAAAGGCCGAGCTGAATCGAGTGACGGCCAAAGAGGAACAGGTCCAGATTGGCTGGATGACCGAGGCCAAGGACTGGGCGGGGGAACTCATTTCCGGTCAAAGCATGACCGGTCGCATCCTGGTGGTACTGGTGTTTCTACTGAGTATCGGCAGTTTGGTCATCTACTTTATCGACACGTACAAGGACAGCTTCCAGGTAGAGACTTGTATCCCGTGGTCGAAGAGTGCCACACAACAGATCGATCTGGGCTTCAATATCTTCTTTCTCATCTACTTTTTCATTAGGGTGAGTTTAAGTCAAACATGTTGCTAGAGGTTGGTAAACATGAGGAACAGCCCGGGCCTGAGCAAAATTTAAGTCGGGCCGGACCTGGAAGTCCCGAAACCACGGCTCATTTCTACGTAATCAAATCGGGCCGGGCTTGAGCAAAAATTATATTGCGCCTGGCTTAAAATTCAGACCCGGCCCATTCCCCATGTCTAGAGGAGGGGGTACGTAGGGAGGAGAATCAGGGCGGTTTAATTTTTGAGACCTTGGTCTTTGGGCCCAGGCTTACTAAGGCAAGGCAGGGATTTCGCTGCAGCTCTTTTTTTTCTGGGAGTGATAAATAGAAGAAAAAGTTTTTATAGCGGTTTTTTGAGGCAGGGTTAGGCATAGCAAAGAAATAAAGTTTTTATATTGTTTGTTATATGTTTGTAAAAATGAAGAAGTGTATTTTACATTTTAGTTTATCGCCGCGTCGGACAAAGTTTGGTTTTTGTTGGATCGCTACAGCTTTGTTGATTATTTCACAATTCCACCAAGTTTTGTGGCCATTTATTTGGAACGCAATTGGATTGGTAAGCTACTACAATATACATTTTTATAAAAATTTTATTTTTTCAAAAATTAAAAAATTTTTTTTGTGTGAAAAACCTTCTCCGTACCTCTGAAACAAAAAAAAATTGTTTTTATCCTCCCCCCCCCCTCCCCCCCCACCTTTCCCCCTTTTCAGAAAACCTATAGTGACGTCCTTGCTTGGTACTAAGCCCCAAAACCCATTTCAGGTCTAAGATTCTTGCGTGCCCTAAGGCTGATGACAGTGCCTGACATTCTCCAATACCTGAACATATTGAAAACGTCATCTTCAATCCGCCTCACCCAATTGTTATCCATTTTCATATCAACTTGCTTGGCTGGAGCTGGGGTTATTCACTTGGTAGGTATAAAAAGGATTGACAATTTCAAATAATAGCCTAATTTGTCAATCGATTTATTAATTTTTTAGTGGGTTTACCGTATTTTACAATTCTAACCATAAAAATTACGTTGAAACTGAATGCCAAGGTTTGGCGGGAAAAAATCAATTCAAATTTTTGAATTTTCAAAATTTTAGTTAGAGAACAGCGGCGATCCATGGAAGGAATTCATGAATTCTCATCGCATTTCCTACCCAGATTGCGTCTACTTTTTGTTGGTAACCATGTCCACAGTAGGCTATGGTGATATCTACTGTACTACAGTGCTCGGCAGAGGATTCATGGTCTTCTTCATTCTTGGCGGCTTGGTAAGGACTTTTTACGCTATTTTAAAATTTGTGGTCAAAAAGTAAACAAAAATTTTAAAATTTTTTTAAAATAAATTAAATAAAAAAAATTTTTAAAATGTTATTTTAGGTAATAATTTTTTGAAAAAGTGATATATTTTGATCTAAAAATCATTATAAACTAATATTTTTAGGCCATGTTTGCCAGTTACGTGCCAGAAATTGCTGATTTGATTGGAAATCGCCAGAAATATGGTGGTGAATATAAAGGAGAACATGGAAAGAGGTCAGTTTTTCATTTTTATAATGTTATTGAGATGAAAAAAAAACAGATTTAATCTTTTTTGATAAAAAATTATTTTTAACAGTATTTTGATTTTTTTTGAAATTTTTGAATTTTTTTAAAATTTTGAAATTTCATAAAAATTTTTTAAAATTGCTTGAAGAATTTTCAAATTGAAAGAGGCGTTTTTTACAAAAAAATTAAATTTATCAACATATACATTCCAGACACATAGTAGTATGTGGCTACATTACCTACGAATCAGTCAGCCACTTCCTTCAAGACTTTCTCCACGAAGATCGTGAAGATGTAGACGTAGAAGTAGTCTTTCTACATCGAGTAGTACCAGACTTGGAGTTGGAAGGTCTTTTCAAACGTCACTTCACCAAGGTCGAGTTCTTCACCGGCACAGTAATGGACTCGATCGATCTGAGTCGAGTCAAAGTCGATGAAGCTGATGCTTGTATTGTACTGGCCAACAAGTACAGTAGTGATCCGGATGCTGAAGATGCTGCCAACATCATGAGAGTGATCTCCATCAAGAATTATTCAAGTGACATCAGGGTTATCGTGCAGTTAATGCAATATCATAATAAGGTAGGTTAATATAGCATAGTATGAAACTTGTAGAAAAAAAAATTGTAGAACAGATACATTTTTGTTTAATTTACATTAAATTTATTAAGAAATGACATTTTATGCGTTTTTGGCCAATTCTTCGATCAAAAATGGCACTGAAACATAATGCCAAGATTTAACGGAAAAACTGGAATTTAAAAAATATTTTTAAATGGGTTTTTGATTTACATTAGATTCATTAAGAAATGTTTTTTGATACGTTTTAGACGAATTGGTCGATGAAAAATGGCACTGAAACACAATGCCAAGATTTGGCGGGAAAAATTGAATTTAAAAATATTTTTTAAAAATGGTTTTTGGTATCTTAAAACCTTTTAAGAACTTTTTTTTGCATTTTGGATCACCTATAAATGGCATTTTTATCAAAAGAGGACGTTTAACTAGAATTTAAAATTTTGGCGGGAAAATCGAAAATCGAAATTTGAATTATTTTTAAAATTTTGTTTATAAAAACTAGCCTTTTTAGAATTTTTTTTTGAAATTGTGAAGTTTTTATAAGACTAAAATGAAATTGATCCGTATTTTACAAAATTCAAAAATTTTTGGTTTACTTTTTACCATGATATTACTTTAGGCATATCTACTGAACATTCCTTCGTGGGACTGGCGTCGCGGTGACGATGTGATTTGTTTGGCCGAACTGAAACTCGGTTTCATTGCTCAAAGTTGTTTGGCACCAGGATTTTCAACCATGATGGCCAATTTGTTTGCTATGAGGTCTTTCAAGACGGTAAGTCTAACATAATCTACTATAAGTAAACACTACCGTATAGCTTTTTTACAATGAGCGTATCATTATAGGTTGTTCAAGTAGTTTTGAGCTCTTTATCTATGCAAATTGTTGGTTGGGATTAGGGGCTCAGAATTATTTGATATTATAATATAACTCTATGTCTATATTTTGAACTTTTAAGTTTGATAACAGTTTGGGTTGAAGTTTTGACTTACTGACAGAGTCTCCAAGTCATTTTTTGTTACCTTGCCATGTGTGTCCTCGTCTCAATTGTCCACAGTAGTTTCGTTTTTGCATTTTTGTGGTTTTTCAGTCGCCCAACACCCCCGAATGGCTCAACGAGTACCTTCGTGGAGCTGGCATGGAGATGTACACGGAGACCCTGTCCCCGTCCACTGTCGGACTAACATTCCCCGAGGCTGCCGAGTATGTTTTAACAATTGCATGTTTATAACTTGTCCGTCTGTGACAGTTTTTAAAATACAGTTCAAAGTCAGTATAACGTGCTTCTATGCAGTAGAACTTTTGTATAACAAATTGCCTCAGGGTTTGAAATTTGTTCATCATAAGGGGGTATTTTTATACAAAGTTTGAAAAATTGAAGTAGTTAGAAAAGCACGGTAGGGCAAGCTAGATTAAGGCGGGGTACAATGGGCTGTTTAAGGTTGGGTATAGATATGAGGAACGGTCCGGGCCGGGCCTGAGAAACATTTTGATTGGACGGGCTTACCATTCAGGCCCGGCCCGTTCCTCATGTCTAGTTGGGTAGGGTAAGCTGAGTAAAAGTGAATAGGGTATGGTAAAAGCAAGTAAAATCAAATACAATCTGAAAGCTTGAATGACGAACTTCTCTATAAGGAATCGACTGGAAACTTAAAATTTGTTCTTTATAGAGGAGTTTCGTTATACAGGGTTTTCGTTATAGGAGAGTTTCGTTATACAGGAGTTTCACTGTACTTCAAAAAAAATTTTAAATTTTGAACTTTTTGAAAAAAAAATTAAAAACGATGTAAAAATGGGTTAAAAATGATAAATATGGTCTACTTTGGCAACGACACTTTATAAAAATTAGTATTAGATAAAATTTGATACTTTTATGCTTTTTAAGACAAACTTTAAAATTTTCGAAATTTAAAAAAAAATAAAAAATTGAGAACTTTTTTAATGCCATTATAAAATGACATAAGGTAGTTTTAATGCCATTATAAAATGACTTAAGGTAGTTTTAATGTCATTATAAAACAAAATCAAAAAAAACTTTTTTTATTTTACTTTTTTGGTCTTTCAAACTTTAAATGACGGGAGGAAATGTCATTTGGCCACGTCATTCTTAACTTTGCTGGCATTTGCAGGCTAAATAAGCTCTTTTTTGGCCCTAAATAGTATGTAAATGGCTTTGGAGCACTAAATATTTTAAGCATTAATCAAGAAAGCATTAAACATTAGTTTATACTTGTACTAGGATTAAAGAAACATATACTATACGTACTAGGGCCAAAAGAAATGATACTATACGTACTATGAGAAAAATAAATCGTGCTATTAGGTTGTTCAAATAATTGTGAGCTCCCTCTCAAGGCAAAATTTTTAGGGTTAGACGACTCAGAATTATTTGAACAACTGTAAAGGATCAAGAAATTCGAAAAATTACTGAAATTTTTTGAGGTATTGGCTGGAAAGAAAGTTCTTGCGGATTTTAAATTTTTTTCAATTTTTTAACTTTTTTGTAAATTTTTTAAAATACGTTATTTTATTATCGCTTTTAAGTTTTTCTTTTTTTATGACCGTAAAGAAAGTTCTTGGGGATTTAAAAATTTTTTTAATATAAAAAAAATTGGTCCAAAATTTATGTGTAAACAAAGTTTTTGCGGAGGAATAACAACTTGCGGTGTCCCTAACATCTCGTCATAACATAAGTGTCAAGAGTTCCGGTACTATTTTGCATGAAATCTTGGTACTGGATGGTACTGAAAATTTGGTACTATATAGCATATTAAACTATTCAATACTTATACTTTAGTACTACTTTGTACTAAAACTTTAGTACTATTTAGTACGAAAACTTTAGGACTACTTAGTACTAAAACTTTAGTACTACATAGTACTAATACTCTAGTAATACTTAGTGCTAAACTTCAGTACTATTTAGTACAAAATCGTTAGTACTACCTAGTACGGACTTAATAGTACTATATAGTACCAAATTTTACATTTTACTAGTAATAGTACCAATAAAAAAACCCCGACTATTTTTGCTAATTTTTTAGTCCAAGCACACGCCGGACTGGCTAAGTCTTTACTTATGCGGTGCCGGAATGGAGATGTACACGGACACTCTATCCCACTCATTTGTGGGAATGAGCTTCCCTGAAGCCGCGTTGTAAGTTGTTAACGAGTACTTGAAACAGAAACTAAAGCAAAATGAAGTTGGGAACGGGAAGAGGATCTAAAATTTTGAAAAATAAGTCGAAATGGACAGAAAATGCAAAAAGAAATGGCATAAAATGAAGAAAAGTGTCGAAAATTGAGCGAAAAATTATTTTTAAAGTTAGATTTAAAAATTTTGAATTATTAAATTTTTAAAAAAGTGTCAGATATTGATGTAGCTATGTCTACTCAACATGTTTTAGTCATATTCAAAAAGGTTTATGGTATAAAGTGGCAGTTTCATATCAAAAAGTGTTCCGAATCACTGAAAAAATGAGTGAAAAATCAGAGTTAAGGTTAGAAATAACGGTCGATTTAAAAATTTCGAGTTTTGAAAATTAAAAAAAAACGTTTTGACATTGACGGCCTGAAGTCTACTGAGTAATTTTTGGCAGTTTAAAGAAAGGTTAAGTTTAAAATGGCAGTTTTGGAATCAAAAACTTGTCAAAAAACAGAAAAAAATTGTCAAAAATTAATGGTTTTTCAAAGTTTTTGCCATTTTTTATTAGATATTGATGGCAAAATCAAACAATAGTGCATGAATAAATTACCCATAAGTCTTCTGGGAAATAGTGTACAACAGTGTTCTAAAATTTCTTTATAAAAAATGTACAGTAAGCAAAGAAGAATTTATAATCGAGGCCAAGAAGGGCAAAAACTGTCATTTTTTAAATTTATTTTTAAATAAAAAAAAATTAAATTTTAAAATCTCAAAAAAGAGGTTTATTTTGAACATCTTCGACCTACAGTAAAGAAAAAACTCAAAGTGAAAATTTAGGTTACTCTTCAATCGTCTTGGCCTACTACTACTGGCTATTGAACTGAAGGACGATGAGAAGAAGGAGTGTAATATTGCCATCAATCCAGGCCCGGCTACTATTATTCAGCCACAAACTCAAGGATTCTTTATTGCTCAATCGGCGGACGAGGTGAAGCGGTAAGGCTTAATGTTAAATTTTTCAAATTTAACGGAAAATTATTGGCGGGAAAATAAAAACTTGAATTTTTTAAATAAAGGAAGTGACTTTACAGATAAATTATACTTTTGAAAGTTGACAAAACACGTTACAGTATGATGAAAAGTTAATTTTTATCACGGCTAACCCATTGAAACAGAATACCAAAATTTGGCGGGAAAATAAAAATTTTGAATTTTTTAGATAAAAATAGTTTTAAAGTTAAGGTGTACCTTTCAAATTGCGACGAAACACATTACTGTGTCATAAAAAGTCAATTTTTATCAAATTAAGCTATTGAAACAGAATGCCAAATTTGGCGGGAAAATAAAAATTTGAATTTTTGAAATAAATTATTAAAAAAAAACAAAAAATAAATAAAATAAGTCTAGTATACCATTAAAAACTTAATTTTAGAGCCTTTTACTGGTGCAAACAATGTCACGAAGACATTGTTGATGTCGCGCTGATCAAGAAGTGCAAGTGCAAGAACTTGTCGCTGTTCCGAAAGGGCGGCAAGCAAGTTCAGCTAATGAAGAGAGGTAATGTCGGTATGTGATTTTGCTTTATGTTTTGCTTCTCCCTACTATTACGCTTCGGAACCTACTGTAGCCTAGTTGCGCTACTGTAATGGATACTGTAACTAATTGAGCTACTGTACTTGGTGCTGTATTTTACTGAGTACTGTAGCCGTTTTAGTTACTGTAATGGGTTGTGTTGCTTATTGAGCTATCGTAATGAGCACTGTAGCTTACTGAACTACTGTATCGGGTAGTGTAGTCGGGTTTCTAACGTTCTTCCTAAGATACTGTAGTTATACCATTTCAAAGGTAATGCTTATTGAAAGTGAAATTTCGGTATTGTGAATAACATTGTGAACGCATTGAACTGCTCGTACTGGTGACATAACATGATGTATATAGCATTGTAGTATGTGGGCTATGTACATGTACAAATTTAAAAAATAATTTAAGGTTACTGTAACGTGTACAGTATGAAAACGATTTTTTAACAATTTTTCTTTTCAAACTGCACCCCTCCCCCCCTGCCTCTACCTTTACTTTACCCCTACCCCTACCCCTACCCCTACCCCTACCCCTACCCCTACCCCTACCCCTACCCCCTACCCCTACCCCTACCCCTACCCCTACCCCTACCCCTACCCCCTACCCCTACCCCTACCCCTACCCCCTACCCCCTACCCCTACCCCTACCCCTACCCCTACCCCTACCCCTACCCCTACCCCTACCCCCTACCCCTACCCCTACCCCTACCCCTACCCCTACCCCTACCCCCTACCCCCTACCCCTACCCCTACCCCTACCCCTACCCCTACCCCTACCCCCCTACCCCTACCCCCTACCCCTACCCCTACCCCTACCCCCTACCCCTACCCCTACCCCCTACCCCTACCCCTACCCCTACCCCTACCCCTACCCCTACCCCTACCCCTACCCCTACCCCTACCCCTACCCCTACCCCTACCCCTACCACTACCCCCTACCCCTACCCCTACCCCCTACCCCTACCCCTACTCCTACCTCTACTCCTAACTTTACCTCTACCCCTACTGCTTTTGCCTCTGCTCTTCTATACCATACCTCAGCCCTCCCCCCTTTCCTTCTCCCCTGCCCGCCATAAAAAAGAAAAAAGTTTCAAGCAACTTCACCTACATCAATATACAAATCCCAATCTAACCTTACTATTTTTATAGCCTCAACCACCGTGAACAACCCCCACCTAACGGTACCAAAAGGACCAATGGTGAACAATGGTTTTGTGAGTCGTGACAACCCAGAGATCATCAACCTGAACGCCTCGCCCAATGCCAAAGCTACTCTGATCAACTTTGATAACAGAATTGACATCGGCTCCTTCGAACAGCAGGACATGAAGTACGATAGTACTGGAATGTTCCACTGGTGCCCGTCGAGGACCATCGAAGAATGCATTCTGGACCGGTCTCAAGCAGCAATGACAGTACTTAATGGACATGTGGTGGTGTGCTTGTTCGCTGATAAGGATTCACCTCTGATTGGGCTGAGGAACTTCATCATGCCTTTGAGGTAGGGGCTTTATAAGGGTTGGGTCACAGTTAAATAGACATGAGAAGCGGACCCGGCCTGAAAATTAGGCTCGGCTCGATCAAAATTTTGCTCAGGCCCGGTCCGATGGTAGGCGTAGGGGTAGGGTGGGAGCAGGGGTAAGGGTAAGAGTTAGGGCAGGGTTAAAGTTTCAGTTTAAACTAAAAATTTTCCATTTCAGAGCCTCCAACTTCCATTACCACGAACTGAAGCACGTTGTAATCGTCGGCGATGCTGAATATCTGAAGCATGAATGGAAGACCCTTCACAACCTGCCAAAGATTTCAATTCTAAATGGCAATCCACTCTCTCGAGCCGACCTTCGAGCAGTCAACATCAACCTATGTGACATGTGTGTCATCGTATCAGCACGAATCCCGAATCCGAATGAAGACCCGACTCTGGCTGATAAGGAAGCTATCTTGGCTTCGCTTAACATCAAGGCCATGCAATTTGATGACACCTTAGGCTTTGGTCAAGGTAGATCAGGCATCTCACCTCTAGGGTCACCAGCTCTACCTTTGGCCAAAAGAGGCGCCAGAAGCGGGACCAATGTACCAATGATCACAGAGTTGGTGAATGACAGTAATGTACAGTTCTTGGATCAGGATGATGACGATGATCCGGATACGGAGCTGTATCTGACACAACCATTCGCTTGCGGTACTGCTTTTGCTATTTCTGTACTGGATTCGTTGATGAGTACTGTAAGTTTTTTTTTTAAAGTTTGGTAATTTGTCGTATTTTACTCTGCTTTACTTTATTCTACTTTTCTTTATCATATCTTAAGCTTCTCTACCTGACTTTATCATACTTTATCTTACACTACCTCATTGGGCTCTCCTTGTCATGCCTTGCCTGGTCACGCCCTGTATGCTCTTCCTTGCCCTGCCCTGCCCTGCCCTGCCCTGCCCTGCCCTGCCCTGCCCTGCCCTGCCCTGCCCTGCCCTGCCCTGCCCTGCCCTGCCCTGCCCTGCCCTGCCCTGCCCTGCCCTGCCCTGCCCTGCCTTGCCCTGCTCTGCCCTGCCCTGCCCTGCCTTGCCTTGTCTTGCCCTGCATTGTCACGCCTTTTCCTACCGTGTTCTGTCTTGCTGTTCAACCCAGTCTTTTGCTACATTACCTTGGCCTGTTCTGTCTTGCCTTTCCTTGCCTTGCTTTGCCTAGTCTTGTCTTATCCTATTGCCTTACACTAATCTACCTTATCTTAACTTGTACTACACTACTTTACTGTACCATAACTTAATCTACTATACTCTATCTTACTTGTTTGACATCTTGCTATTTTCGTAACGTTACCTATACTTACTGTAACATTAGCCATGCAAAAAACTAAGATGTTTGAGCAACCGTATTTTACAAAAACGTTCTTTTTAATTTAGACCTACTTCAATGACTCCGCGTTGACATTGATTCGAACATTGGTAACCGGTGGTGCAACGCCGGAATTGGAGCTTATTTTAGCTGAAGGAGCAGGATTAAGAGGTGGCTACAGCACTCAAGAGACGTTGTCAAACAGAGATCGATGTCGAATTTCACAAATTTCATTGGCTGATCATCCTTACGATGGGATTGTGGTGGGTTTTTAAAAAAATGTAACATTTAGGCCAGGGGGTTTGTTGCGGAGTTTGATGCAGAATGCCAAGATTATTTGATTATTCTGGTGAAAAATTGTGCTACCGTATTTTACAATATTGGGCTGAAGATTCTATAGGAATATTAGGGTATTTTAGGATAGGGAAGGGTAGGGTAGGGTATGGTAGAGTACGGTAAGGTCGGGTACGATAGTATAGGGCATGGTAAACTAAAACTTAATTAAATTTCAAAAATTTCAGTCCGGTTCAACCTACGGTGAGATGTTCAGTGTAGCATTGAAAAAGAACGGCCAGCTCTGTGTAGGCTTGTACAGGCTACACGATCAAGCCTCATTGGAGTCCAACAAGCGATATGTAATCACGAATCCACCTGCTGAGCTGAGGTTGCTTATAAGCGACAATGTAAGTTTTTTTTTTAATTTTATTAGCACTGGCTCATTATTTTTTGAACAGAATTTTTTTATATTTTTTTGGCACAAAAGTTCTTGGACTTACAATTTTAAAAAAAAATTTTAAAAATATTACCCATGTCATTCCAGGTATACGTACTAGAACAGTTCGATCCGGGGCTAGAGTACGAGCCGATGGATCGTATGATGATGTCCTAGGACTGATAACTTATCTAACCCTTACCTCTTTGCTTAGAATTTCAAAAAGTGCCATTTATGCCTGAGGGCATTACTTATACATATTTACTTGTTACTGTCTTTTTTTACTGTAATTTTAATTTTGGTTACTGTATCTTTAACTTTGGTTACTGTAACTTTAATATTTTGAACTTTATAACTGTCGATTATAATTTTATTGCTCATTCTTGGCCATGCCAAGACCTACAACAACATTGCTGGTGCTCTTTCTTAATATACAGCTATTACTATGATATGAAATTACTGTATTTGGAAAAATTATCAAAATTATATTTTAAAATAAATTTATTACATTGAAATTAAGAAATTTTACGTACCCCTCTTTACCCTACCTTTGCCTCTAACCCTGCCTTACACCTCTACCCCACCCTAAGAAATTTACCTTGCCCTAGCCAACTTTTTCTAAAATTACCCTGCCCTAACCATTTTTTTTTGAAGTTACCCTGCCCTAAACAAAAAATTGAAATTATTCTACCCTTGCTCTTTTTTGTTTGAAATCACTTTGCCATAGACAATTTTTTTGAAATTTCCTTGCCCTAGCCACTTTTTTGAAATTACCATGCCCTAGCCAACTTTTTTTAAAATTACCTTGCCCTAGCCACTTTTTTGAAATTACCATGCCCTAGCCAACTCTTTTTAAAATTACTTTGCCCTAGCCAACTTTTTTTTGAAATTATATTGCCCTAGCCAATTCTTTCTAAAATCTACACTGCCTTGACCCGTTTTTTTAAATTACCCTGCCCTAGCCAAAAAATTGAAATATTATTCTACCCCAGCCTATTTTTCTCAAAATTACCCTGCCCTTGCCAATTTCTTACCGGTCCCATACAAAAACCCGACAAAACAAACGTAACCGCCGTTACCATGCCGACGATGTAACCATGGTCGTGGGAAAGGTTCCCAAAAATAGAAGGAAACCCTTCAAAGTCATGGAGCAGGTGCTATTCGGGCGCGTGAAACCCGCCCATGCCAAAACGCAGGGCGAGACGCCGATCGTGGACACGGACAGCATGAGGCCCATCCTGAATTGGGTCGACAAAATCACCGACGACGAGGAGGTCACTGACACCGCCGGGTGGGTTTTGGTTTCATGTTTGAGGCTTTTACTGTTTTGTTAGGGGCCATATAGTAAAGGGGGGGAGGGGTGTCTTATAAGCTATGTTTTTGTTGAAGATATCATGGTAAAAAAGAGTTGTTTATGAAATTTTCTGGTCGAAAAAGGTTAACCTGGGCTTTAAAAAAGTAAAAAAATATTACGTGCTGACATAAAGAACCTGCCATTTTTTACAGAAAATTACAGGAAAAGTATGGCGGGTTCTTTATGTCGGCTCTTAATAAATTAAGTTTTTGTTTTTTTTAATAAAAAGTTTTAAAAAGGATTAATCAGGCTGTTCAAATAATTCTGTGCCTTTTTCAAAGCAAGTCTTCGGGGTTAAGAAGGCACAGAATTATTTGAACAAGTTAATAGGTAAGAAAAGTAAGGTAGGATAGTATGTAATTCTGTGCTCTCTCTCTCTCAAGAAAAAAAATGTAAAATACGAGACCACATGCCTTATTAGTAAAATTTATTTTTAAGTTGTTAAGCAAAAGGTCAGGCTTCTTCTCAAGCTCATGTTTGGGCTCAGCCTCTAGCTAACGATAAGGCTTGGCTTCAGGCTTCTGCTCAAGCTCAGGCTCAAGCTAAGTGTCAGGCTCAAGCTTAGGCTAAGGATAAGGCTCATTCTCAAACGCATTCTCAGGCTTAAGCTCAGGCTAAGGCTTGTGCTGGTTAGGAATCAGAAAAGCGGAAAAACTCATTTTTAAACCAAAAATATAGTTTTTTATTATTTTTATTGATATCTAAAGATCACTTTTCGAGCAAAACATAAAACGAATTCAAAAGTTGGTCGCCAATAGGTCCAAGTGTTCGAGAATCTTCTCCATGATCTAATTGATCTATCCGAACCTCAAAAAGTTGTTGCTTTGTCGCGCTTCCCGATCCAGCTTCTCCAAGGCGGTGGCACGCTTCCCGAACCTCAAGAAGTTGTTGCTCATGGCTGAAGGGTCGGGTCGTTTGCCGAACCTCAGGAAGTTGGGCTCAGTTCCATCGATTTTGAATTCAGCGGCTCGTTTGCCGAACCGCAAAAAGTTGGGATCGGCGCCCGACTTTCCTGAAACTTTGGCATTGTTGGTCGGGGCGGGGGCGGACTCACCGAAACGCAGGAAATTGGCACCAGCCGAGTTGGGCGAGGGCGCGGCTCGCTTTCCGAACCGAAGGAAATTTGGCTCACTGCCTTTTTTTTCCGAAGTCGCCTAGAATGGTGTAGGGATTTTGAAAAAATTCGAAGGATTTAAAAAATTTTTTTTTAATTTTAAAAAATTTCGAAATTTAAAAAATTTCAAAGAAATTCAAAAAATTTTTAAAAAATGAAATTTTAGGTAACAATTCAAAGAAATTTAGCTTTTTTTAGTAAAATCCGAGAACTTTTCAACCAAAAATTGCATTTTTTGCATTTTTAAAATAAATTTTAAAATTAAAAAAAAAAATTTTAATTTCGAAAAAATTTTGAAATTTTTTAAAAAAATTTAAGTAAATATTAAATTTTAAACACTATAATAATTTTTCTTACGTTTCTCTGCCTTGGCGTGCTGAATATCGTCCATTAGTTCATTGATCAGGGCCTGGTCCATAATGTCTAACTGATTGTAAAACCTGCAAAATGCGTCTGTTCCCGAACATCCTTGTACTGTTAACTGAAAATTGAAGGATTAGCTTTTTTTTGGCTTTATTTAGGTATATTAAGTCTATTTGGCATTCTACACTCTTATAATGAAGCTAGGGCTAGGACTAAGCCTGAGGGTTGAGCTAGGGATCAGGCTTACGCTCAGAGTTACTCAGACTGAGGTTCAAGCACTTCTTTAATCTTAAACTCACGTTCAAATTAAGGCTAATGCTCAAGTTCGAGTTTAGGCTCAGGCTTAAACTCAGTTTGTGGCTAACGCTCAAGCTTAGGCTCAGGTTTAGTCTAAAGGTAAAGTTAAGGCCAAGGACAAGGCTAAGTTTAGGCTCAGGTTCCAGCTCAAGCTCAGGTTAAGGCTAAGTCTCATGCTCATGCTCATGCTCATGCTCATGCTCATGCTCATGCTCATGCTCATGCTCATGCTCTTGCTCCTGCTCCTGCTCATGCTCAAGCACATGTTCATGCTCATGCTCAAGCTCATGTTTATGCTCATACTCAAGCTCATGTTTATGCTCATACTCATGCTAAGGCGATGGTTAAGTCCAATGCTAAGGCTCAGTCTCAGATAATAACCCAGAAAATCAAAAACCTTTGAAAAATCCAAACGTACTGTGGCACAAATAACTGTGAGAATCCCGAGAAGAATCCCGGCGGCACCGTGCGGCGTCATCTTCCAAATGCGCAGACGACCAATCTGCCCAGCTTTATAGCCAATATCCCGTACAGCATGTTCGACTAATCGAATTGAAGACATGCCTCCGATTGTCTATATTATAATGGCATTAATTTTGATGCAGCTGCGCAATTTCCTTTTGTTTTCGTATTTTAGCGATTTTTTTGGAAATTTGAATGAAAAATTTTACGAAAATATTATGTCATCCGCTTTGTCATACGATGACGTTCATTTGGGGACAAGCCATGTGGTTTTGCAGAAAAATGATGTTTGAACCGGAAAAGGTTAGGCACAAAAATTCACGGATTTTTTGAAAACTTAAATTTAAAACGAAACCTTGAAACGTCTACTTCAAAGTAAAAGTCTTGAATAAATAAAAACTTTTTCAGTAGCCGAATTGGAATCTACGCATTAGCCTTTAAGCCAGATGGATCTCAGTTATTGGCCGCTGCGGACAATCGGGTGCTTGTTTATGATCCGAAAGATGGAACATTGGTCACTTCACTCAAAGGTAAGGCATGGGTTTCTCAACATATTTTATATCTTATTAATTAAAAAGGTAAAAGAAGTCAATTACAATCTCAAAAACATCTGTTTTAGCCCTGGCGCGGCCGAAAACATTTTAGCAAGAAAAAGTTGTCCAAGTCGATTTTAAAAACTTTTTCGTCGATAAAAACACCTTTTTTCAATCTTTTTTTTATTTCAAACCTTTGTAAAACAATATAAAAACATTTAAAAATCTTTTTTCTAATATTTTAAAATCAAGTCCTTTTCTATTTTTATCGTATTGTCCAGTTCATTTACTCTAAACCGGATATAGACACTAAAACAACATGTTTTAGGTCACAAGGATCTTGTTTATTGTGTCGCATTCTCGTTCAATGGTGAGAAATTTGCTTCCGGTTCCTTGGATAAGACTGTTATTGTATGGAATGATCAACACGAGGGACTTCTCAAGTATACGTAAGCTTTTGAACTTGATTATATTGTTTTAGGTATGTGTTCAGGGGAATGATGGATAACTTTTTTTAAAGTAAGAGGATATGTATGATTTTTGACATAGTTGATCTGTAGGATATAGACGTACTTTGTAGAAAGTTTAAGGGAAATGTGCTTTTAGATCGCCGAGGTATATTCATTTAAAGTTGTTGTTATAGGGTTCTCAGTTATTGATTGAAAAGCAATGATGGATATCTTTTTTTAAGTGAATAGATGAGCCCTATCTTTTTTTATAGTTAATTTAGATGTTATAAACGTCCCCCACACTAATTTTAAGCATGATCCAAGGCCTACATATTGCGTTACATCCATCTAAACCCATCTTCATCGCCTTTTTTTCTCAAAAATCCAATTTTTTTTTAATTTTAGGCACAATGACTCGATTCAATGTCTGGCATTCAGTCCGGTGGCTATGACATTGTTAAGTTGTGCTGTAACTGACTTTGGAATTTGGAATCAGAACGATAAGAATGTGAGTAAACAGCGAGTGAACGTGAAATGCACTTGTTGTGCGTGGAGCTCGGATGGACAATATTATGCGATTGGCTTCAGTGACGGAAGTGTTTCCATTCGATCGGCTTCTGCTGCTTCTGTAAGAGGATTCTGGGATTGGGGATTCTAGTTTTATGGTCTTTGTTTGGATTTTTAGTTGTTTTTCAGCCAAAAATGGCGTTTTTAGACAAAAAACTTTTAAAACTATGAGCTTTTGCCATTCTTTTTTAACGAAACTAGGAGAAACAAATACACTAATATAAGAGTATATTTTAGATAGCAGATGAATTCCACAAGTTCTCCCGACCTTCTGGAGAACCGATTTGGGACCTGAGTTTCGGCTTGACCAGGCAGAACAATCATTCAACAGAAGTGTTGGCAGTGGTTGATTGGAATCAGTCTGTAGGATTCTACACTTTTGATGGAAGGGCTGTGAGTTTTTCTTTCATTTTTGAAAATTAAAATTTTTTTTTGAAAAATTTAAATTGAGATTCCGGTCAACAGAGGGGACCAAGTTCAATATTTTTGGAAAAAAAATTTTTGTAAAAGAGGGGAACTTGATGAAAATGATAAAAAAATGACATTTCAGACCCACCGAGCAGACAAAATCTTAACATACGATGCCACTTTGATCGAGTTCTTCAACAACAGTCAATTCCTCTTGCTCGGCGGTTCAAACCATGCCATTTCAATTCATACCCGTGATGGTGCCGAACTCGGCACGCTGGCTCGAGCCGACTCTTGGATATGGACAGCCAAGGCTCGGCCAAACCAACCAGCCAACAATGTCAATATCGTTATGGCTTGTACTGATGGTACTCTCGCTAGCTACACTTTGATGTTCAGTACCGTGCATTCGCTACACAAAGACCTGTACGCTTATCGAGACATGTTGACTGATGTTGTGGTACAACAGTTGGGAAGACAGAGATGTAATCGAATACGGCTGAATACGTTGGTATGTAAAGTGGCAATATATCATAATCGGCTGGCAGTACAAGTGACGGATCGGATTCTGGTGTTCAGACAAAGCTCAGGAGAGAAGGAAGGGGAACAAGTCGAGTATAAGTTGATGGACAGGATCAACCGGGATGTCGAATGCTCGTTGCTGGTGGTTACTGCGCATCATGTGATACTGTGTGATGATAAGAGGCTACAATGTATTGATCATAAAGGGCAGAAGCAGAGGGAATGGACTATGGAGAGCTCGATTAGGTATGAAGGTTCTTTTACTTTGGTGTAGGTATTGATACTGTATGTAAGATAGGGGAACTGTATGAAGGGTAGGGTTAGTACAAATAAATATTTGATTAAAAAACCGTGTAACAGAACTTTTGGCGCACAATGTATAAGTAGGGTAGAGATATTGTGGAAGTAGTAGAGGTACTGTAGGGTGAGTATTGACGTTACATGAAGGGTAAGGGTACAGTAAACGGGGTAATGAAAGATAATACGTAATAATGTAATTTTAGGTACATAAAGGTCATAGGAGGACCACCAGGTCGAGAAGCCATTCTGTTGGGTCTTAAAAATGGACTGGTAGGCTTTTATTGATATGATACATTACAATGATTAAAAATTTTGAAATTAATTTTTTTTTAGCTTTGCAAATTTAGGCGTATTTTACAAAAACCTCTACCAATAGATCTATATTATCAATGTCAGTTTAGGTCTGTAAAATCTTCGTAGACAACCCTTTTCCAGTTGAAGTTGTTCGCTTACGTAGCGGAGTTAGATGTCTGGATGTATCCTTGTCGAAACGCAAATTGGCAATAGTCGATGAGAATAATGTGTGTATGATGTTTGACATAGTGACCAAAGAGCTGATATCCCAAGAACCCAATATCACAAGTGTGGCTTTTAACTCGGAAAATGAGGATCTGATATGTTACACTGGAGAGAATCGACTGTTCGTGAAGGCTAAGAATTTCACACCTTATCAACAGAGAATTGAGGTATGTTTAGGAGGGTCATTTGGGTAGGGTAATGTGAAGTAAGGTAAAGTATTGATGAAGGTAGTTGTGATAAAGTAAGATAGGTTAGATGGGGTAATGAAGTAAGGTAGAGGTAATATTATGTTGTTCAAATAATTCTGTGCTCCCTTTCAAAGAAATTTTTTGAAGGAAAAGCACAGAATTATTTTAACAGTGTAGTAGGGTGGAGGTAGCTTTACCTACCCCCCTCTCCCCTTCCTCCTTAGAAAACATTTGTAGCGACGTCCCTTCTAACATATAACAATATATTTTGCTCTTTCTAGGGCTTTGTTGTTGGATTTACTGGCAGAAGGTTCCATTGCTTACACACCTACACCATGACCACGAATGAAATACCATTGGGCAGTCAGTTGTCACAGTACTTGAACACCAAAGACTTTGCGTATGTTTTTGTTGCTTATAAGAAGAGTTTGATGTATAGGCATTACCAGGTTGAACATATAAGCTATACTACGGCATTTCTTAACCTTACTATTAATATTATCCACTATTCTTGTCTTTCTAACCTAATATTAGGTTGTTCAATAAATTCTGAGCTACCACTCAAAGCAAATTTTGGAGATAGGTGGCTCCGAATTATTTGAACAACATAATATTAGTGTAATTTTTAAATTTTGAAGAATGTAATTTTTAAAAGGCCTTAGGGTTTAATAATTTGAATTTAGCGGAGCATACGAACTGGCAGTGCTAGGAGTAACTGAAAAAGACTGGCAGATCCTGGGTCTGGAAGCCCTGGAGAATATGGAATTTGAAGTGGCCAAGAAGGCTTTTCATCGCATCAAAGATTGTCGTGCCTTGTTGTTGATCAATGAAATTGAGGTAAATATTAACACTAGGGTTTTGTCTACTGTGACATTTTTAATATGGCTTTTTATGAAATTTAGCGTAGGAATGGAGTGGCATTTTTAAAAATTGGAAATTCACTAAGCTTTGTCATTTTAAGGATATGAAAAACTGTGGTAAATCAGCGGACACCATCCGTGCCCATATCTACGCCTTCAATCGTCGCTTCCGAGACGCAGCTCGCGTCCTACAAGAGACCGGGGCAGAACAACACGCGCTCGACATGTTCGCTGATCTTCGTATGTTCGATCAAGCTCAAGAGTTTCTGGCTACCGCCTCGAACGAAACCCAGAAGTCCTTGTTGAGAAAGAAGGCGGACTGGGCCACTGAAGCCAATGATATGAGGCTAGCTGCCGAAATGCTGATGGCCTCGGGCGATTACGACAAAGCGATCAAGATCATGATGCAAAACGACTGGACTGATAAGATATTGCAAATGGCGACCAGACTGGACCGGTCCGATGCGAATGTGATCAGGGAGATCGGGAATTACTTGGCTGCTAAAGGAGAATTCACTATCGCCGCAGGGTTATTTGGCCAGATCGGAGACATCATATCGATCGCCATGATGCATGTCAAGGCTGAGAACTGGGAGGATGTAAGTGGGGTGGATTGGAAATGGATTGAGCTTGTTTGGGGTTTAAAAAGGATGGTTTTGGAGGTGATTAGGACTTTTGGCAAGAACTTTGTTTACAAAACAAAAAATGACAAGAACTTTCTTTACAAAATATAAAACGGCAAGAACTTTGTTTACAAAACATAAAATGGCAAGAAATTTCTTTACAAAACATATCAGGTTGTCCAAATATGGATGAGCTAGTATGATACTTAAAAAATTAAAACTGTTTTTGTGAATAGCTCATTTATATCTGGACAAGCTAATATGATTTATAAAAGGCTGTTTAGTGGCTTTCAGATTAAAAACTGAAACCTTGTACCTAAATATTTTGTCTTATAGCTCAATTTGAAAAAAAATTTTGGTTTTTGGTTTCAACGTATTTTACAGAAGTGATTTGTCCAATTTTAGGCATTTGCGGTCGTAGAAAGGCATCCAGCCTTGGCAACCGACGTCTATTTACCGTATGCTCGGTGGTTATCCGAAAGAGATATGTTTGATGAAGCTCAAATTGGTAGGATCAACTTTATTTAAAAATTTTTTACTCAAAAAAACCATGTTGACATTGACAATTTTAAAAAAATTTAATTTGAAAAATTTTCTTTGAAAATTAAAAAAAAATGAATTTTTAAAAAATTTAAATTTTGAAAACTTTGAGATAAAAAGAAATTTAGCCTACAGCAAAGCGGGTCACGATCGAGAAGCCTTCGAGGTGCTACAAACATTGGCTGAGAAAGCGATAGCAGAACATCGCTACCTAGATGGTTCATATTATTTTAGGTTAATGGCCAAAAACTATATGGATAAAGAGGACTTGGCCTCAAGGCAGAAGATTGAAGAATGTTTGCTAAAATCGGATTTGTATTACGTCTACAATTCGGTTTATAAATACGTCGTAAGTTTTAGGTTGTTACAAAAATAATGGCCGATTTTGACCTTGCTTTGCCCGCTAAAATTGGCCATTCTTTTTGAAACAACTCACTAAAGTCGGCCATTCTTTCTGAAACAACCTAATATTTACCCAGTAAGCTCTTACCACGCAATACCCTTTCAGATAGAACCATTCACCGAAAAAGGCTACGACGTCCTATGCAACATGGCCAGATACCTCTCGTTATCACCGAAAATTGCCGGTATCTCGCAAGTCAACGTGCTGTTCGTACTCACTAGGTTAAGCATGAGACACGAGAATTACAAAACAGCCAGAGAAGCACTTGGTCAGCTGAGAATATACAGAATTCCACCCAAATTCCAGAATTCCGTCGATATGTGGTCGATGGAAGTGAGGTCAAAAGCCTACTCGGATTCTGATGAATTCATGCCAATGTGCTATAGGTAGGGGAGGGGGGGGAGGTTTTTGGGTTTGTATTGTATTGGGGATGATATTGTGTGTTTTTGATTTTTAGGTAAAATTTTTTTGATTTACAACAAAATTCCCCCTTTTCTATGAACTTTTTGACCGATTTACACTTGAATTTGAATTTTTTAAAAATTTATGGCTTTAAATGTTAATCAAATTGATACCAGAATTTTAGTTGCGGAACAACAAATCCAGTACTTGGTGGCCACTTGTGTGCTCATTGCAATGCTCCTTTCGTTTATTCATTCTTGAGATTTGGTAAGGAATAAAATGAACTTTTTTTTAAAAACAAGTTTTTGTTTTATAAGGTCTATAATTTAACATAAAATGTCGTTTTTACTTTCACGTTTCGTGTTTTAGCAATAAAAATTAACAAGTAAACAGGGGGTGAGAAACAAGGCTGGGTCTTATGATTGGAACGGATCGGCCTTGAGCTAAAGGCAGTTTTTTGCCGGACCGGTCTGCGGACGGGTTCGGGCCGGACCGGACGGACCGAAACAAACAGACCGGACCCAAAAACCTGCGGACCCGCACTGGTCCAAAATTTTTTTTTATTTTTACAAAGCTTTAAAAAATTGCAAATAAAATACATTTTTAAGAGTTAAGCATAAAGAAAGCAGTTTTAGCGCTTCTGGCTTTTTTTTAATTTAAAAACATTTTTTTGTGGACCGGACTGGACCCGAAAATTGCCGGATCGGACCGGTGAAAAACGCTCCGAGCCGGTCCGGGCAAAACACTAGCTAGTTGAAAATTTGGGCTAGCCAGGGCTTGAAAATTAGGCCTGGACTTAATATTTTTTCAAAATAAATATTTTTAATTTAAAATTTTTAAAAATTTTTATTGATTTTTTTGATACCACAGATAAATTATCTAAAAAAAAGCCAAGCAAAGTCAACTTTTATTTTTTTTAATTTTAAAAATTTTAATTTTTTAAATCAAAATTTTTTAAAACGGACCAGGCAAGGCCGGCTTAAGAAAAATCGAAAAGGAGCCTTGAAAAGTATGCTCGCCCGTTTTTCACCTTATAAACAAGCTCAGAACATGAGCTCAAACCAATCAAAATAAAAATTTGTGCTTTCAGAGGTCCTACCAGTCCTCGAATTCCAAGTACCAGAAGACTTGTCAACAGAAGAAGCCAAAGAACTCCTGAAAGCCGAGCCACCAATAGATGAAGGAGATCAACATGTGAACAGGCTACTCTCTGATTACCGGTCAAAGAACAAGTCAGGGATATTAACCTTGGAAAGGGAAGATCTGGCCAATTTAGAAACGAATCTAACCTTTGTGGCCGAATTGCCACAACCGATTGGGATTAAATTCTATTTGAAGGTCATACCTGAAATACCTATTGCTCAATGTGAGGAGTGCAAAAAGGTAATGCTTGGGGGTGTTTTTGAAAAGTTTAAAAAAGATAATATAAGCTATATTTTGGCACTTCCAGCTCTTCCACGCTGATGACTTTCAATTGTCGGTACTACAACATGGTGTTTGTCCGGTGTGTCGCTTCAAAGTTCATTTATACGAGCCGGATTTGGATGAGGACGATACAGAGAACAGCTAAGATTAACTGTGTATAAGAAGGGTTTACTTTATACAAGCATGACCTTAGTATCTACAATGATGGCATTGGTATATACAAGGATAGTCTTACTATGTCGAAGTGTGACTTTACTATGTACAAGGATGGCTTTACTATGTATAAAAACGGCCTTACTATGTACAAGGTCATACTAATTACAAAAAGGGTTTTTTATTAACACAGAACTTGATTTTTATTGTCATGTACATGTGCATATAACTTGTTACATTTGATAAGTTTTTTTGAGTAAACGGGTTTATAAAGCTTTCAGTGTACGTTCATTTCAAGAGGAAGGGATCTAGGGATAATGACATCAAATATCAATTTTATTCACAATTTCAATAATAACATTGGACAGTCAATTGTGGCCCTGAAGAGGGCCGCTTGGGATCAATAGTTGGGCGTTGTGAAGTCGTAGCTATGAACCAAGAAGTCATTTAGGTAAATGATACATGATGACAGCCTTGATGACTTCGACTACCAAGGTTCTGATTTTCCACCAACATCTTTGAAAATGGTCATCTGTTTCGTACAGAAGCTATATATTGTTATCTAAAACCACATCGAAGGACCTTGTTGGTACCAGAAGACACATCGAAGCTACAAGGTTGGAGAACCCTACTGTAACTTTACGCACGGGTGGTAATCATTGTCTGGGTTGTTAACATCCATTTCAGTATATTTCTTTCTCATTTAGTAGTTACGTACTCGACCGAAGCAGTTAAGTTACATGCCATCTTTAAGCATATCGATATGTCAACTGCATTGTATGGGGCTGAAGGAGAAGTCACACAGTGAGGTAACTACGATTCCGTGTTTACACTTTTTTTCATTAATGACGTATTTTTACTAAAAATTGAAATATTTGCATGAATACAACCCTAACGGTCCTACATAGTACTATAATAGATATACTTAAAATTAAAAGTTTTAGTGCTTACCATAGACGGAGCAGCTTTACGCATGTATGGTATATTCTCATTGCTGTTTATACCTTTAAGAATGTTGAGATGTGATCAATATTGGCATCGCATTGGTACACAAGTTATAAATTGTTATTCAAAATCACATCGAAGGACCTTGTTGGTATCGGAAGACATGGCGAAGCTACAAGGCTGGAGATTGCTACAGTAGCTTTACGAATTAGACACATTGTTTCTCTTTTCGTTAACACCCGTTCAATATAGTTTTCCAGGGTTGTTAATATCCGTTTCGGTATATTTCTTTTTCATACTGTAGTTACGTACCGTACTGTTGAAGTTTAGTTGAATATCTTTAAGAATGTTGACATGTCATCAATAGTAGCAATTGGTACACTAGTTATAAATTGTTATTTAAAATCACATCGAAGGACCTTTTTGGTATTGGAAGACATCGCGAAGCTACAAGGCTGGAGATTCCTACAGTAACTTTACGCTCAGATGCAATGGCATGTTAGTTGCATGACATCTTTAAGCATTTTGATAAGTCATCAATATTGGCATCGCATTTGTACACAAGTTATAAATTGTTATTTAAAATGGCGATGAAACATGTTATTGTATCTGAAAATAAACAATACTATGTAACGTTATCTATGAACTTTTTTTTAAATGTTGAAAAAAAACTTACCAGACGATAAAATTACGACTCCACAGTTATAACAATCAGTTTGAATTAGCCGTGCTAGTAGAATTCAACTTCTGTGGTAACTTTATATGGTATATGCTTTGCATTTTCAATCATATCATTAAGACATTGTTGCAGTAATGAAAGTAACACTTGGTAAACTCGTGAACCTTAATACTAATTGTAATAAGCACAATCAATAGTAATAATAGCACAGCAGCTTTACGCAGGTGTGGTATATGCATAGCGCTGGTCTTCATTCTTTATTTACGTACTGCATTGAAGCTGTATAATTGCATTCCTTCAATAATGATGAGATGTCATCAATATTGATATAGCTAGTACACAAGCTATAAATTATTATTTAAAATCATATCGAAGGAGCTTGTTGATATCCGAAAATGAAAGGCGAAGCTACAAGGCTGGAGCGTATTACAGTAGCTCTACGCACGGATGGTAATCATTGTCTGGGTTGTTGAAATCCGTCTTAGTATATTTATTTTAATTCAGTAGTTATGCATCGTACAGTTGCAGTTTAGATTCATGGCATTTTTAAGCATGTTGTACCGTACTGTTGAAGTTTACTTTTAAAAATGTTGAGACGTCGCCAATATTAGCATTGCATTGGTACACAAGTTATAAGTTGTTATTTAAAATCACATCAAAGGACCTTGTTGGTAAAAACACATCGCGAAGCTACAAGGTTGGAGATTGCTAGAGTAACCTTACTGTCAGATGCAATGGCATGTTAGTTGCATGACATCTTGAAGCATTTTGATATGTCATCAATATTATCATCGCATTTGTACACAAGTTAAAAATTGTCATTTAAAATGGCACTGAAACATGTTATTGTATCTGAAAATAAACATTACTATTTAAAAAGATCTATGAATTTTTTTAAGTGTAGAAAAAACTAAACATACCAGTCAATAAAATTACGACTCCACAGTTATAACAATCAGTTTGAATTAGCCGTGGTAGTATTCGACTTCTGTGGCAACTTTATACGATAGCTGCTTTGTATACTCAATCATACAATTACGACATTGTTGCAGTAATGAAAGTAACACTTGGTAGGCTCGTGAATCTTAATACTAATTGTAATAAGCACAATCAATAGTAATAATAGCACAGAAGCCTTACGCAAGTGTGGTATATGTATAGCGCTGGTCTTCATTCTGTATTTTTTGTACTGCACGGATGCTGAATAATTGCATTCCTTTAAGAATGTTGAGATGTCATCAATATTGGTATCGCATTGATACACGAGTTATAAGTTGTTATTTAAAATAACATCGAAGGAACTTGTTGGTATCAGAAGACATAGCGAAGCTACAAGGCTGGAGGTTGCTACAGTAACTCTACGCTCAGATTTCATAACGCTGTTCTGAAGATAAGCATTACTATGAAAAATCATCTATAAACTTTTTTTTATATTTAGAAAAAAACTAACCTTACCAGTCGATAAAATTACGATTCCGCAGTTATAACTATCAGTTTGAACTAACCGTCGTTGTAGAAGAATATTTATATGCTATCTGCTTTGTATAATCAATCATAGCATTACGATGCTGTTGCAATAATGAAAGTAGCACTTTCTATAAAGATTAATGAAGCTTAATGTTAATAGTAATAAGTAGTAATAGTATTTCTAGTACAGCAGCTTTACGCTGTCAGAACAATTTTCAACTTCAATCTTCATTCTGTAGTTACGCACTGTTCCTTTGCATTTGGCGGATCGCGTAAGTTAAGAAGGTTGAGATATCATCAATAGTAGCAGCGCGTTAATACACAAATTATAAATTGTTATTCAAAATCACATTGAAGGATTTTGTTGGTATCGGAAGACATGGCGAAGCTACAAGGCTAGTGGAGCTTGCTACAGCAACTTTACGCTCAGATGCAATGGCATGTTAGTTGCACAACATCTTCAAGCATGTTGTTCGTACTTACCACTCTACCTATTATAATTACGACTCTGCAGTTAGTAACTTTATGCTCAGATACAATAAATTTGTTCTGAAAATAAATATTAATTATGTAAAAACATTTATAAGCTTTTTTTTAATGTAGAAAAAAAACTAAACTTACCAGTCAATAAAATTACGATTCCGCAATTATAGTTAACTGTTTGAATTAACCGTGGCTGTAGAATTCAACTTCTGTGGCGACTTTATATGATATCTGCTTTGTATAATCAATCATAGATTATACAAAGCAGTTACGACGTTATTGCAATAGTGGAAGTAACACTAGCTGCCAAGTTCTTAAAGCTTCATATTAATAGTTATAATTATTAATAATAGTAATACTAGTCTAGCAGCTTTAGCTTTACGTATTATGGACATTCGTCTAGACGACCTTTTTGTTCACTGGTTATGCATCGTACAGTTGCAGTTTCGTTGCATATCTTTATCAATAGTAGCAGTGCGTTGGTACACAAGTTATAAATTGTTATTTAAAATAACATCGAAGTACTTCATTGGTATCGGAAGACATGGCGAAGCTACAAGGCTGGAGAACGCTACAGTAACTTTACGCTCAGATGCAATGGCATGTTAGTTGCGTGACTTTAATCATGTTATTTATACTTACCACCTTGCTTATTATAATTACGACTCTGCAGTTAAATGCGTGTCTTTGAAATAAATTGTAAAACGATGTTATACTAGCTTTTACTTCAACTTACGCTCACAGTTTTGAAAATCAAAGAAGTTTTATTTATATATCGTTATTGTTTGGTTGTAAAATTATCCTTTTACGTCGTTCCATGAACAATAAACTTACGGTTCTGCCACCTGGATTAACATAAAACTCTCCAAAGGTTAATTTACGGGCATTCCTAATTTTTTAAACCGCTAGCTATACTAAAAAATTGTGATTGATTAGAAAATTGAACAAAAAGTGATTGATCACAAAACCAAATTAGATTCAAGTTGTATATGTGCTTATCGACGACTAAAAGTTTGTTTTGTGGGGTCAGAATCCACTTCACAACATCATCTAAAGTATTACGCTCTGTTGCGTCGTTTAGTTCTACAAATTCGAATATTTAAAGTTTTTGTTTTAAAATAAAGTTTCCGAAGCTATCCTGAAATAGTGTTTGTATGCGTGGTCTGAAACTTACCTAACAACTTATTACAACCAACCTTGTTTTGAAATATTTGTTTTACAAAAACTTACGTTAAAAAACATTTTTTTAACATCTTGTTCATCCAGTTTAACGTTTTACGGAAAGTATCTTGTAGGGTTGATCATCATTTGACGTTTCAAAGTTGAAGTCAACTTTATATATAAACAACAATTATATAAAACCGTAGTATATAAATTTCCATATTACATCGATAACCTCCGGTTCATATTCATAGTTC